AATATTATCAGGAAAATATTTTATTACATTATTTTTTTATTAATTTATAAATATAAAAATAATATATATATTGTATTTTTTTAGTGCTCAATCATAGTAATTTTTAATGCAGAAACCTTAAAAGAAACATAAAATTATGCCTGTGAATAGAATAATATAATCATGATTAATCTCATAATTTCTGAGCAGTCTTTAGAAAGCAGAATTTCATTCCCATTCAGATTTAAGTATTAACTTATTCTTTTACTATTTATATAAATATTGATGACTCATCTTGCTCTATACAGATTTTTGTCCAATCAAATGCTCTCTACAATAAAATATCCCCGTCATGCTAGTTATCTTGACACTTCTAGTTAGCATACGTTTTCATCATCATTCATAAAACCTCATGCATTAAACTCTCTTAAGGCCTGTTCACACCAAGAACAATAACTATAAAGATGACTTTAACAATAACTATATTAATGTCCACACCAATGGATGATACCGTTCTGTTTATTATAAGCATGTTGTAGTTTTGTAACATGCTTATATTAACCTGCAACTTTAAATGCTTGAGCTCTTTACAGCAAGATGGACTATGATTGGCTGTCATTGTTTTTAATCATTTATCAGCTGGAAAAAGAGAAAGGTATCTGAAAGTGATTACAACAAAATCATTCTACTGTGTCATAATTATAATTGTGGTGTGGACATCCTTTTTCTCACAGAATTAGAACAATTATTAAAACTATATAGTTATGGTTATAGTTATTGTCCTTGGTGTGAACGGGCCTTTAATCCCTAAAAATCACATAAAACAGGACACTAATGCTATCTGCTGTGCGTTCTGTAGGCGAGTGAGGACCGCGTCCACTTCATTGTGTCCCGCCAGACTCGCATCCCTACTCCGGACATCCTACAGGAGGCGCCGTGGAACATGGAAGGACCACCGCCCTACTCGCCTGTGGATATTGAACACTCTTTACTGGTGGGTTTCACGAGCATGAACCACACACTCTTTATTTCCCATCCCTCTGCACCGCTTTACTAAACATTCTCTTATTGAGGAAAAAGATCTGAAAGCCTATTACTTCTACATCAAAGAATCAAACAATCAGCCAGCTCACACGCGCGCACTATTAACAGAAGGCTGGATTTCAGTGCTTCTTCTAAACGGGATTTTCTGCTGCTCAATATCTGCACTGACAACTTCCCTTGTTCTAATAAGTGTCAAATTCATCGTTAGTTATTTCTCTCTCTCCCTTGCAGAAAAAAAAAACTTCTCAGACCAGCTTGTGAGGGGTTGCTGGTTTAAGTGTCAATGACAAATAAAGGTGCAGTCACAATTACAGTTGTTCTGTGAATTTTCATAGATCAAATCCAGTCATTTCAATAGGATTCCTATTTGCAGTCTTTTTAAAGTTTAAACTTTTTTAACAATTTTATTTTATAAAGACTTATTGACCTTGACACACAGTAATGAGGATCTGCAGGGGTCCGCTCTATGTTGTAATTTCCTGTTGTTTTTCAAGTGGCCCAAAACCCCTATAAAACCAGTCCAGAACAAACCAAACCCTAACATTATATCTCTTCCACTCTCTTTACTTCTTTACTTTTTGTCCTTTCAGTAACTCTTGTTAATTCTCTTTTACACACTTGGAGAGGTGGAAACATTCTGGCAGTATATAGTCAGAAGCTTTTCACTCCTCTGAATTAGACACGGCCTAAGACAGACAGACACACACACACAGTCTCTCCAGCGATAAGTCCAACACACTAACTCCAGATCTGATTTTCTGTAGCCGAAGGCTCAGACTAAATATAAACAGCCCTTTTATTGAACTCTAATAACGCTTTTTATTAAGTTAGAACTTAGCGACTGTGTTTGTTGTTCTTGGAGAGGATCCAAGGCAAAATGGCCACGGTCAGCAATAACACAGCGTCCTGCAAGCTCAACATTTATTACAAACACACAAGCACACACACAATTTGGGCAGTCATGTGTTCAGAAAGTGTGAATCCAGATCATAGATTAAGAAACGTCATAAACCGAATAATTTGCACGGAAACTTTCTCATCTTTCTCATTTCCTGTCCCTCCATTTCAGGATTCATGCCAAAAGCCTGCATGTTACGAGAAGACGGTGACTCTGCTGAAAGAGCCGCATGATTCTCTCGGCATGACAGTTGCGGGTGGGATGAGCAGCAGGGGATGGGATCTGCCCGTCTACGTCACCAACGTCGACCACAGTGGAGTGGTGGGACAAGAAGGCTCAATCCGCAAAGGTACAGCCTCACAAAGTGTGTTTAACCTATTCAGACACATCTGAAAAAAGCTGCGCGGGCACACCTGTTTCCAAGGTGCCCCTCTGATCTTTTCTCCTTTTGAATGCAAGTACACACACAAACAAAGACACACCTGCTACTGCATATGTATGACCGTCATCAGCTCTGCAAATATATGCATATAACACTAGAAATTAACACACTCCCACTCGTACACCTGCCATACTGCTGAGTCTGTCTCTGTCATACACATTCACAATTATCAGCTTCAAACTGAGCGTATGGAAGTTTTTCAGGTTTATTTCTGTCATATGTGACATGTATGTAGGCTTATGAAATTGTGATCATGCACAGGCTGGTGTATGGAGGCATTGGTTTAAAGTATCTATCAAATGCAGACACACACATGCAAGATCAAAGCTTCGAGTCTTTATATGCTGTACAAAGGTGTGGTAAGCTCAGTGTTTGAACTGAGCCAGAACCTTCAGGAGGGTCTGATATTTGGAAGAAAGTAGGTTTTAGAAAGTGCATCCTGTAAAGTGGGTAAACTGGTAATAAACTACAACTAGTTACTCTTTCCATTTTGTGCATAACACAACTATGCATTTCATGCTTTACCAGGTATTATGTATTTTATTCTCTAGCGTTATAACTATTGACATTGGGTTTTAATTTATTAAAAATAAACGGAATGTATTTTATTAAAATTAATCTTATATACAGTGGTGTGAAAAAGTGTTTTCTTATTTTTTTGCATGTTTGTCACACTTTAATGTTTCAGATCATCAAACAAATTTAAATATTAATCAAAGATAACACAAGTAAACACAACATGCAGTTTTTAAATGAAGGTTTTTATTATTAAGGGAAAACAAAATCCAAAACTACATGGCCCTGTGTGAAGAAGTGTTTGCCCCCCTGTTAAAACTGTGGTTTATCACACCTGAGTTCAATTTCTCTAGCCACACCCAGGCCTGATTACTGCCACACCTGTTCGCAATCAAGAAATCTCTTAAATAGGACCTGCCTGACAAAGTGAAGTAGACCAAAAGATCCTCAAAAGCTAAACATCATGCCGAGATCCAAAGAAATTCAGAAACGAATGAGAAAGAAAGTAATTGAGACCTGTCAGTCTGGAAAAGGTTATAAAGCCATTTCTAAAGCTTTGGGACTCCAGCGAACCACAGTGAGAGCCATTATTCACAAATGGCAAAAACATGGAACAGTGGAGAACCTTCCCAGGAGTGGCTGGCCGACCAAAATTACCCCAAGAGCACAGCGACGACTCATCCAAGAGGTCACAAAAGACCCCACAACAACATCCAAAGAACTGCAGGCCTCACTTGCCTCAGTTAAGGTCAGTGTTCATGACTCCACCATAAGAAAGAGACTGGGCAAAAATGGTCTGCATGGCAGAGTTCCAAGACGAATTCCGCTGTTGAGCAAAAAGAACATAAAGGCTCGTCTCAGTTTTGCCAAATTTGTTTGATGATCTGAAACATTAAAGTGTGACAAATATATAAATCAGGAAATAAGAAAAATAAGAAATCAGGAAGGGGGCCAACACATATTTTTAAATATGTTTTTAAAATCTGCATTTACCCAGGCTGCATTTATTTGATCAAAAACACAGTAAAAACATTAATATTGTGAAATATCATTACATTATATTTAAAATAGCTTTTCTATTTTAATATATTTTAAAATGCAATTCATTCCTGTGATGGCAACTTTCAGCAGTCAATACTCCAGTCTCTTCAGTGTCACGTGATCCTTCAGAAATCATTCTCATTATGCTGATTTGATACTCAAGAGACATTTCTCATTATTATCAATGTTGAAAACTGTTTTTCTGCTTATTTTTTGTGGAAACAGTGATACGTATTCTTTAATGAATGGAAAGTTTAAAAGAATATAATTTATTTGAAAATATTTTGCAACATTATAAATGTCTTTACTGCCACTTTTGATCAATTTAAGGCATCCCTTGCTGAAGAAAAGTATTAATAAAAAAAAATATATATATATTATGACTGACTGAATGAATAAATAAATAAATAGCTTACACTATACACAAAGCAGCGCAGCAGCTGACTTTGAAACGTGCAGCGCTCATATTTAATCAATGAAATTAGCCTTTTTAAGTTTCAAGGTCACATTAAGCCATGTTGCAATTCTGGTCTTTCCGTCCCCAAATTTAAGACCTCTTGAAATCATAATTAAGACTTTCTTGTACCATTTAAGACTTTTTATGGCCTTGAATTTGATACAACTAAATGTAAGACTTTTTAAGGACCCGCAGAAACCCTGTATTAAATGTATAAAACAATATACAATTAAAAATGACCCAATTTACATTCAAATCCCATTGTGCAGGATTCTTGTTTGCATTTTATTGAAAATTGAGGAAAAATACATTTAAATCATATATTCTCATCAAAGAATTGTCTCCTATCAACACAACTCTGCCATGCAACAACAGATCTGTTACGGTCCTATGATCCCCACAGTAATGTGACTATCCCGTCTTCTAGGTGACATCCTTCTAATCGTGAATGGGGTTGACCTGACGGGTGTGACTCGGAGCGAGGCTGTGGCTAACCTGAAGAACACCTCGTCCCCAGTGGTCCTGCGGGTACTAGAAATGAGACCCCCAAATGAGAGCTCCCTGGACTGCATGCCGCCCCTGCATTCCCCCTGCGCTCTCTCGCCCTCTTCACCCGGAGACATCAAACTACTCCCGCCTAATGATGACTACTCCCCCCTCTGGGTGTCCTGGCTCCAGCTACCCAGGTACACTGAGCAGAAGTCACACAAAGAAAAAGACAAATTAATTTGAATAAATTTTATTTGAATGTGTGTGTGTGTGTGTGTGTAAGTAAATGTACCGCTGTTTTCTTCACTTCTCACCAAATTTGTGGGAATTTGCTGTGATGGAGTGTGAAAGTTCTTAACTTCCCAAATTATTTCAAATGCATAACAACTGAGAAAGTTGTGTGTAGGGGAGATAACAGTAGCATTTTTGCAGAGACTGTAAACCTTTAAACACAAATCGATTCTTTCAGTGTTGCTCGCCATTTGAAGCTCACTTAATTCCCCAAGATACCCAAAAGCTCCTTCTGAATCTTTTATTTATTGTGAATTTCTCTCTTCACTCCAGCTCCTGAAATGCACCCCTATATTACTCCCTTAAATGGATAGTTGAACTAGAAATGATAATTCTGTAAAATCAGGCTAAATTAGTTAACATTAGCTACTGCATTAAGCATCAGGTAATAATACCGTAAACAACATTTTATTAATCTAGGTAAATGATACTTTACACAGCACTGTGGGTAATCTGGCTGCATCTCATTCTCCTTTCTTTTCTCCCATTGCTTTCTGTCTCAATCACATTGTTCTTGTTTTTCCATTTATATTTTAAAATAATAATAATAATTATATTTTATACAATCATACTTTATACAATATAATTTAAACAATGTATTTATATACTGTATATGGAATTTAATAAAATGTATTTATATTTACAGAAATTAACAATAATCAAAATACCTTTTTAATGATAAAAACAACAACAGCCCAGTTTAAAATGTATTTATACTGTATATCAGAAATTAACTATCACTGTCCCTTTTCTTTTTTATAATAATAATTTTTAAAAAATTATTATTAGCTAACTAATGTATACAACTTGAAATGTATTAATACTGTATATGCAGAAATTAACATTAACCAAGATTATTAAATTATGTAAAAGTATTGTCCATACAGTAGTACCCAATGCTTTAGCTAAGGTTAACGAATTACACCTCAATGTAAAATGTTACCAGAAATTATATTAATATTTACCCTCATTTTGTTTCAACAGAATATGATAATAACAATCAGTCACTTTCAATTAGTTACCATAAAAAAAAGATGCAATAAAAGTGCATCGTTTCATGTCTAGGTGAACTATCCCTTTAAGTGTCCTTGGTGAATAATTTGTTGATTTATCAATGTCTGCTAAATGACAATAAAATTAACCTTGAATTTTCTGTCCATTCCAGGCATCTATACTGCTGTAAAGACATTGTCCTCCGCAGGAGCACGTCTGGCAGTCTGGGTTTCAGTATTGTGGGTGGACAAGAAGAACGCAACTGTAACCAGTCCTTCTTCATCCGCTCTATCGTAGAGGGCACACCGGCCTACAACGACGGCAGGATACGGTACAGACACTTAGATATGTATATGTCTACTATTGTCGGAAACCATGCTTTTTGTAGAACAACTATAAATAAACTGCCTAGCACAGTTTATTCAATACAACTTTTTTTTTTTTTTTTGCCTTTACCCTCATTCTTGTCACGACTCCAACATACTAAAATTTCATACCTTTTTCTTTTTTTTCAAATTAGCTGTGGAGACATCCTGCTGGAGGTGAACGGGAAGAGCACTTGGGGAATGACACACACAGCTCTGGTCCGCCTTCTCAAGGAGCTGAGGGGTCGGATCACTCTCACCATTGTTTCTTGGCCCGGCAGCCTGCTATAGGACTACTCTGCGTGAGGGAGGGGCTTATCACATTGACCCTGCACTAGGGGTGGAGCATACACCACATACCTTATAATGACAAATAAAATGGTGGATTTTAGAATCCGAGACTTCCTTGAAAGGCGGGGCTTATGATACAGACTGCCCCCCGGGAGCAGGAAATGACACATGGACCTCATTCAGGTACTAGGAGCTCAGACTCTAAACTTGTAGGCGGAGCAAATGACTTGACTCCGCCCACCAAGAAGCACGTTTATCACAATCCGAAACCAGGAGGCGCTTTCACAATTGCCCTTTTGTCAGTTGGCAAGGGTTCGCTGATAAAGATGATATTTGTGCATGAGAGGAACATTGTGTCATTATAGATGGAAGGTGGAGATTGTAATCTGTATTAAAGGAATTGGGAGGGTCTGAAAACACAATTTCAGGATGTGTCAATAAATGAGTTGGAAATAGATGTATAAACATTATGGGCACTGCTATATGTAGTCAGATTTTGTGACTCTAATGTTGTTTGTAGAGGACGTTGAGATGCTGCACATGAGAGGGGTTTTCTTCAAACGAGAGATGAAAGGGATACTGGGATGTGTAGGGTTTGGGTGGGGGACACACATTGCCAATTCCATTAGTTTTACATGTTAGAAAATGCATCGAAGTGGACGCACATTCTTTACTATAAACATCGATGTCTGAAAAAATAATGAAACAGATTCAAGCACTTGTACTAGTGACTAATATTATTTTTGGTTTATTTCTCTCTCAGTTCCAACGGCTTTCAGATTTCGGCTTCCTTTTGTTCATTCTGACAGTGGTTCATTCTCTCCATCCACTGGCATGGAGACACATTTGCCAAGTAGTTCTATCTATGTTGGTACGTTTCAGATGCCGTCGCATATGAAAATAAACTATAGTGAGTAATAAAAAATAATAGCAACCGAAAAAAGAAAAGCAATGTTAATCTATTTTAAAAATGGATGATAACTTATAATGCTTATAATGATAACATGAGATTTTGGCGGCCTTGCTGACTTTTTTGTTTACTTTGGAGAAGAAAGGACAGAGTGGTGTGTGAAAGGCTTACTGTGTGAGTGTGTGTGTGTCTAGGTATCATTATGGGGTAAGGTGCGTGCTCTGGCATCTCATGCTTTGGCTTGTGCAGTATATTGTATCTGTTGGTACCTTTGGTTCAATGATCAATAAAGTACTTTGGTTCAAAAGATCAATAAAGACTTGTGTTACTGTCTCGTGTTCTTACTGTGCACTGTGTGTGTGTGTGTGTATATAAATATATATTTATACAAACACACACACACACACACACATATACAAACTACCATTCAGTTTGGGGTCGGTAGGATTTTAGTTTTTAAAGAGGTTCACAAAGGCTGGATTTGTTTGTAATATTTCACAGTATTATTGTTTTATTGTATTTTTATATCAGTTTAAAGGAACTTTTCTATTTGAATAGATTTTAAAATGTCATTTATTCTTGTGATGGAAAAGCATCATTTTCAGCATCATTACTCCAAGCTTCAGTGGCACATGATCCTTCAGAAAACATTCTATAATGTGCTGATTTGGTGCTCAAAAAATATTTCTGATTATTATAAATGTTGAAAACAGTTATGCTGCATAATATTGTTGAGAAAAGCATTTTTTCAGGATTCTTTGATGAACAGAAAGTTTACTGTCAGTTTTGATGACTTTAATGCATTTTTGCTGAATAATGTATTAATTTAAATTAATTTTAAGGTCAGTACAGCTGTTGGCGTTCTCCACTCTAAATCATGTTTCACACACATTTACATTTCTTGATTATGTTTATAATGATTTTGCTTCAACAAAATTAACATTTGGCACAACAAAAATACCATTTTGTATTATCAAAACAATTATAAATCAATTATAAAATAAATGTATAAATTAAAAATAGTATACTTTGTTGACCACCTTTACCTTTTTTAAATCATATTTTCAAGAAATTAAATGTTAAATTGCTAAAACGGTAACATAAATAGGCTTATCAAGTGTTTGGCATACTATTAATCAAAATCTATTCACAGTTGGTCACTCAGGCTGTGACTGGTGACAAGACTAATGATCTTTCACTAAAGACCTCCTACTGGTCAACAAACGGGCTCACCAGCTGGCCAGGGAGTTATTCTGTGGCCTCTGACTGGTTCTCCTGGTCCACATTGCACTCCTCGCTGGGCTCAAGGCTTCCTCGGTTGTGTTTAGAGCGTTTGTGCCTGTGTCTCCTGTGGCTATCTGCGTCATCACTATCATGACGCCTCCTACTGCTCCCACTAATGAGAGTGACAGAGAGAAGAAGGTCACATGATCTATATATATTATGGTTATATAAGATGCTTTGCCCCCAATGATTATCACCTTTGTAGGCCCTTTTGTGTGCTTGTGTGTGTGTTATTCTGCATGATGTGACTGATGTGAAGCTCTAATGGCATGTTATGTATGTGGACATATTGTACATGCATTTGTTTTGGTGTTTTGTGTGTAAATTTGTACAAAAGGATATTGGGTATTATATGTGAGAATTTTCCCCCCTAATTAAGGGACAAATTTTATGAATTAATATTAAATACATTTTCCGGGCATTTTTACAGTACCTCTAAGGAGTAAAAAATGAATAAAAATAAAATAAAATAAAATAAATCGATTCATTTTCACACAGCTTGTTTTATGTATAATATATAGAGTATAACATAATAAATTATAATGTATCTGAAAAATTATGGATGTTATTTATATAATCAAAATCAACATTAAATTCAGAAACCGCTCTAAATAATGTTCAAGATGTCAGTATACAGAAATTATCTGTTGGAATCAATTTTGAATATTTTCCAGTTCCTGTATGAGATTTTACAACTTTCTACTGTATACCGTCACAGTAAATTTGGTCACACTTTATTTTAAGGTCCAGTTATCACTATTATCTAACAATTAACTACGACTTTTGCCTAAATAAACTCCTATTTACTGCTTATTAATAGTTAGTAAGGTAGTTGATAAGGTTAGGTATTGGGTAGGATTAAGGATGTAGACTATGGTCATGCAGAATATGTGCTTTATAAGTACTAATAAACAGCTAATATGCATGCTAATAAGCAACTAGTTAATAGTGAGAATTGGTCCCTATACTAAAGTGTTACTGTACGTTTAGATCAACCACTGAAAAGCACTATTAGCTACACATTCAGCAATATTTGACTCTGAAACAGTGAATACAGATGATAGCTACAGGTCACTATGGTGTCAGTAAAGGAATGAAAGGGATAGTTCAACCAAAAATCTAAATTCTGTCATTAATTACTCACCCTCATGTCGTTCCAAACCTGTAAGACGTTCGTTCATCTTCGGAACACAAATTAAGATATTTTTGATGAAATCTGAGAGCTTTCCGACCCTACATAGAGAGCAATGAAACTGAAACGTTCACAGGCCCAGCAACGTAATAAGGGCATCGTTAAAATAGTCCAAATGACATCAATCCTTACTATGTTGCAGGGCCTTGAACGTGATGGTTCCCTTGCCTTCTGTCTATGCAGGGCCAGAAAGCTCTCGGATTTAATCAAAAATATCTTAATTTGTGCTCCGAAGATGAACGAACGCCTTACAGGTTTGGAACGACATAACGGTGAGTTTTTTAGGGTGAACTACCCCTTTAAACCCATAACTAGATAGGTTTAGAATAAAATATTATGAAATAGATATCAAATGTTAGATAACAGATAAAAAAATAGAATGTTCACTGCAGGGACTTTTTCTGCCCATCATCTGGGGCATTTTAGTCACCTTTTTCTTTTACTGTCCAGCACCCTGGTGAATTTCTGACCCGGTGCGTTACCTGCGTGAGGATCTGTGTTGTTCATTCCTGTCTCTGTGTCTTCTTTCTCGATGTCTGTCTCTCACTCCTTCTCTTCCCGAGCTTTCTTGGTACCTCTCGCTTCCGTGATGACGGTGATCCCTGTGTCGAGACACACGCTCCTCCTCACTGCACACACATGTACGAACACACTCATTAGTATTGAGGGAAAATAGTGCATCAGTCTGTTATAAAAACAGAGCAAGATGACTCGGTTAGCTACATAGGCAGGGCAGCATCCTAACTGTCAAGGAACCTCACAAGCAATCGTTTGGAATGCTCAAACTTTGTACGCCACACAAGTAACACTCTCCATGGCAAACTGGCAATTGTTTTCAACAGAGTTTGACTTTAGCATGTTGCTAAGCTAATGGAAACGGGCTCACCAGCTGGCCAGGGAGTTATTCTGTGGCCTCTGACTGGTTCTCCTGGTCCACATTGCACTCCTCGCTGGGCTCAAGGCTTCCTCGGTTGTGTTTAGAGCGTTTGTGCCTGTGTCTCCTGTGGCTATCTGCGTCATCACTATCATGACGCCTCCTACTGCTCCCACTAATGAGAGTGACAGAGAGAAGAAGGTCACATGATCTATATATATTATGGTTATATAAGATGCTTTGCCCCCAATGATTATCACCTTTGTAGGCCCTTTTGTGTGCTTGTGTGTGTGTTATTCTGCATGATGTGACTGATGTGAAGCTCTAATGGCATGTTATGTATGTGGACATATTGTACATGCATTTGTTTTGGTGTTTTGTGTGTAAATTTGTACAAAAGGATATTGGGTATTATATGTGAGAATTTTCCCCCCTAATTAAGGGACAAATTTTATGAATTAATATTAAATACATTTTCCGGGCATTTTTACAGTACCTCTAAGGAGTAAAAAATGAATAAAAATAAAATAAAATAAAATAAATCGATTCATTTTCACACAGCTTGTTTTATGTATAATATATAGAGTATAACATAATAAATTATAATGTATCTGAAAAATTATGGATGTTATTTATATAATCAAAATCAACATTAAATTCAGAAACCGCTCTAAATAATGTTCAAGATGTCAGTATACAGAAATTATCTGTTGGAATCAATTTTGAATATTTTCCAGTTCCTGTATGAGATTTTACAACTTTCTACTGTATACCGTCACAGTAAATTTGGTCACACTTTATTTTAAGGTCCAGTTATCACTATTATCTAACAATTAACTACGACTTTTGCCTAAATAAACTCCTATTTACTGCTTATTAATAGTTAGTAAGGTAGTTGATAAGGTTAGGTATTGGGTAGGATTAAGGATGTAGACTATGGTCATGCAGAATATGTGCTTTATAAGTACTAATAAACAGCTAATATGCATGCTAATAAGCAACTAGTTAATAGTGAGAATTGGTCCCTATACTAAAGTGTTACTGTACGTTTAGATCAACCACTGAAAAGCACTATTAGCTACACATTCAGCAATATTTGACTCTGAAACAGTGAATACAGATGATAGCTACAGGTCACTATGGTGTCAGTAAAGGAATGAAAGGGATAGTTCAACCAAAAATCTAAATTCTGTCATTAATTACTCACCCTCATGTCGTTCCAAACCTGTAAGACGTTCGTTCATCTTCGGAACACAAATTAAGATATTTTTGATGAAATCTGAGAGCTTTCCGACCCTACATAGAGAGCAATGAAACTGAAACGTTCACAGGCCCAGCAACGTAATAAGGGCATCGTTAAAATAGTCCAAATGACATCAATCCTTACTATGTTGCAGGGCCTTGAACGTGATGGTTCCCTTGCCTTCTGTCTATGCAGGGCCAGAAAGCTCTCGGATTTAATCAAAAATATCTTAATTTGTGCTCCGAAGATGAACGAACGCCTTACAGGTTTGGAACGACATAACGGTGAGTTTTTTAGGGTGAACTACCCCTTTAAACCCATAACTAGATAGGTTTAGAATAAAATATTATGAAATAGATATCAAATGTTAGATAACAGATAAAAAAATAGAATGTTCACTGCAGGGACTTTTTCTGCCCATCATCTGGGGCATTTTAGTCACCTTTTTCTTTTACTGTCCAGCACCCTGGTGAATTTCTGACCCGGTGCGTTACCTGCGTGAGGATCTGTGTTGTTCATTCCTGTCTCTGTGTCTTCTTTCTCGATGTCTGTCTCTCACTCCTTCTCTTCCCGAGCTTTCTTGGTACCTCTCGCTTCCGTGATGACGGTGATCCCTGTGTCGAGACACACGCTCCTCCTCACTGCACACACATGTACGAACACACTCATTAGTATTGAGGGAAAATAGTGCATCAGTCTGTTATAAAAACAGAGCAAGATGACTCGGTTAGCTACATAGGCAGGGCAGCATCCTAACTGTCAAGGAACCTCACAAGCAATCGTTTGGAATGCTCAAACTTTGTACGCCACACAAGTAACACTCTCCATGGCAAACTGGCAATTGTTTTCAACAGAGTTTGACTTTAGCATGTTGCTAAGCTAATGGCAGTTTCTAAATCATTACGATTGTACACTGACTTCTAATAAGATGAATGGCTTCTGTTAGTTTCCCACACTCCAGATGGGACAAACTACCTTGTTTTATGAAACAAAGTTGTGAAACTGTAAGACTAAAGGTTTGTTCACACCTAAAAAGGAAACAATAACTATATTAGCCTGCCACTTTAAGTGCTCAAACATCGAGTAGATTCTAATTGGCTGTCAATGTTTTTATCGTTTATCACCTAAAAATATTCTGAAAGGGCAAAAAAATAATATATTGTACCTTTAAGTAACTCTGATGTTTCCTCTCTTTGCATTTCTCATAGTTAGTCAAATGATATGTTATTGTTAGCAGCTGCTGCTGCAAGGCCAACATGAATCTGTGTTTTCATGTGTTTTCATCAAATTCTTCATGCTGTTTATTAATAAGAATTAGAACCATATACATGCCCCTCTGGGACTTATAAATGTATAAAGGCACAAT